CAGAAGGAAAAAACAAACTGTCCTGTTTCCCTTCTATTCCCTTCCTCCTTGGAAAATGTTACTCATGGTTGTGAGCCAATCCTGGTGAGTTCTGGGGCAGAGGAGTAGTTAGCAAGAAAAGTGTGCATCAATAGCTGTTGCTTTGGTTACAAAAGCACATGAGCATGTATAGTTGTGACAAGTTATTTTCAGCTTTACACCATGAAATAGAGAGAATATTAATAAAAAAAGATTATGCTACCTCTGCTCAGTCTCTCTGTGGTGGAAAGTCCCAGAGCAGTGTCACATGCTGCATCATCCTGCATAACTGTTGCTGTGCGCTCTAATGACATAGAAGCCACCCCTGATGCTGAGAGCACAGAACTCATCAGCTGCGGGGGGCAAAGGTTCTTACTGGTGCTGGGGATATATCTTCAGGAGCAGCTTCTCTTGAGTGCCAGCTATTAACTTGAGTGGGAGCAGCACTGGGCACCCAGCTGCCTCTCCTGCATGCGTGTCAGCATCTCGATACCGCTGAATCCCTCGCGTAGCCCACGCTCAGGCACGCACACAAAAAGCACAAAACTGCAGAGCAATCTCTGTCTCCCGGTGAAAATCGAGTTCAGTGGGGAATCAAACAAATGGTTAGATCTCTACTGGCATTTCAAAGCTCCTGCAGTCAAAGATGATAGTGAACTTGGAAGAAGCGCAGAGAAGGAGTGGGAACGGGGCACACAGTGTGGTGGTGCCTCGTGGTACCACAGGGGTCCAGGGAGGCCCACACATGGACTTTCCATCAGGAAGAGGAATGAGCTGTGAGCTCTGGAGTGAAGCACTGATGAGCCAGAGTGCTACCAGTGCCAAAATAATTTGGCCCTTGCTATCTGGCAGATGATGGTAATGGCTGGAAGTGATTCCATTCCCCCTTCAGTTCTGGTTCATTCCCACCTTAACCCAACCACAGCTTCTGGTTTAGACACTACAAGGAGGAAATGTGATGAATCTTGTCCTTCATGCTACTTTTTTGGCCCTGTTACATAGCAGGACAGTCTAAACCCCTGGGGGAGAGGACAGCTATGACAGCTCCCCCTTTAAAGGTTTATTCTTTGAAGCTTCATGTCCATGACATCAAGAAGGAAAGTCAATGGATTCCAGTGTTAAGAGACAAAAAAAGATATTCCATTTGAAGAAATGACCCCTTCATAAAACCTGTTTGTGAACTCAGGATTTTAAACAAGTCTGACCCAGTGGGGAAAAAAAAAAATCAAACTGTTTTGTACAGAAGAAATTCTCTGCTGGAAAGCACACAGGAAAGTTCACAGGCACTGCAAACAGTAGCCCAGTGGGTAATTCTCTGAATGAGATGCACTTTGCACTCACAGCAGTACTGAAATTCAGCAGCTCCTGGGAATGAGATTTATTCAGTTTTACCAACAAGAATGCAACTAATAATAGTTTAAAAAAGGAAAAATTTACCACGTGAGGGAAGATAAAAGATCACATTCTGAACTTTATTACTTTGGCTTACGTCAGACATGTTTTGTACCAATAGATATACAGTAGAGATGTCACAGATGATCTCATAGAATAAATCAAAATAAATGCCATCAGAATAAAACCCTGAAATTTTACTGCATGGTACATATACTGTTCCTAGTATTCTTAACTTCTTTTGTGGAGAACCTGAGGACCAGGTACATTCTGGGAGACTGCAGCAACGAGCATCTCCCAGCAAAGGATCCAGCATCCATTCACCTCCAGGTTTGTGTGAGAGCTCTCCTCAGAGCAGGAGGGACACCCTTAAACTTAAATTTGTGCTGATTGGACTGAACAACCATTTCAAATAAGTATCACTCCTACAAGTCTCATTAAAGTCAATGGTCTACTCCCCACATAAGTAATCTTTGTAGAGTGGGGTCTTGCCTAGTCATCCTTCACAGAGCACTGCAAGTTCCTCTGAGACCAGTTTTTACAGGCATTTTCTTGCTCCCCTTCCAGATGAAGAGTTTTGAAAGGCGTCAGAGGATTAGCACCATGCAAATTCCAAAAGGAAAGTGTCACTAAGGTAGGACAACGTCACAAAAAATAGCTTAGGGGACTATACAGTATCCAGAATTGAATTTTATAGCACTCCATAAAATTGAAGTATGAGTCAAGGGTTAACAACCTTGAATTTTGCCCTTAAAATTAGTCCAAGGAAGTCTACTTCATTATAAATACAGTAGTACCGTATAGTGTCCTGTTGATTGATATGCCCAAGAGCTACCTTTGTCGGCAGTCTTTTAAGCAGTAATCCTTCATTTTGATCTTAATAGTGAGATAGGCACCTCCTTACTCATTGAGCTATCAATTTTTGCCTGCCAATACAGACGGATGAGGTCTCTTGTTGCGTACGCGATGCCTCCCATCGTGATGAACGTACAGTCAGCAATCATGGGGCTCCTGATCCCAAAAGCAGAATAAATGAGTGAGAGCAGGATGCAAATAGCAATATTTAAAGGAGGTAATATTAGAAGAGTGCAACTTGAGGTTTGTACCAAAAGATTACACATTATTCTCAGTCTTTGTCCAGCTTTAAGATAAACATTTTTTGAGCTAGTTAAGCTATCTGCCAACAAGCAACTCTACATTTTATTTTAATAACTTTCCAGTATTTTACTCTCAGCAAATATTTAATGGCTGCTATACAATATTTTAGCCTGGTTTTTCTTTTTCTCGCTTTAAATTATTTGTGGGTGAAATATATGTAAGTACATTTGTTCTAGGAACAGTATCAATGTATATAATACCCTTTAGCTTGACAGTCTTGGAATATCATTTATCTATGGCAAACACAGATATAGCTCACCTTTGATTAAACTATATCTTAAAACCCACCCCAAACTAAAAGTAATTAACTGTCTTGTCACCTAGCTGAGTATGCTTTGGTACTCCCACTGTCTGTGACAATCATTGCATTACTCTTTCTAGGCTGAGGGATATTAAAAAACTATTGTGGAAAGGATATTAATGCAGAGTCTTAACAGACTTTAGAAAATCAGTTTGCTTTTATGGCTGCCTTTCTACATTGCTCTCTGTTTCTTTTCCTCTAGAGATTCCAAATCCAATTAAATGTGACTAGATGTAATTCCAAATTGTCACTTTAGTCAATTAAACATATAATAATCTTGTGTACCTAATTACTAGCACCAAAAGTTTATTTGTTGATGTAGTGTTATCAATGTGTACTTCTGCATGTTCCCCTTATCATTGCCTATATATTAATTGTGGTTTGACATTACTGTAAATTGAATTTGAAATTTCCCCCTAGTTAAAAGTGTCTCACAAACAGTAATCCCAATCCAGTTGTAATACCCTTTCAGAATGTACTTTCCAAGGCTGTATTATGTTCTTAATGAGATATAACCAAAAATTCATGGATTTAACAATAAACATTTCAAAGCAGGCCCAGTATCAGGGGGTAACATATTGTTACAAACAGGAACTAAATCTTCCCTTAGATGTTCTCATACAGCTCCCATTAATTTCTCTGGGAGAAAAGCAATTCAGTGGGATCCATGGATTTCTGCATAAGGATTGGATTTAGCCATAAGCTTTATCTAATGCTCATTCAAATCATTGGCAAGAATCCTCTTGACTGCACTAGAACAAAGAGCAGTTTCTAATTGAACATCGTTAGCCCAGTCGGCACAGGATGAACAAAGGATGAAATCCTCATTGCCTGGAAAATAATTGGCAAACTGCTCATTGTCTCCAAGTGGTGCCAGGGTTTAATCTCAGGAATGACATATGGATCCTGTGGATGAAGCAGAGGAGGTAAGCAAAGCATCCAGCTTTGCCTGCTTGACCTGCTGATGGTTTTGAGGAAAGACCTTCTCTGTGTCCTGAGGTGCAAAAGGGAAACAACCATGTGGCACAATATTGAGGGAAGACTGAATGAATGTGTCCTGTTATTCTGTACCTTTGATCTCTTGCAAAGCTTCCAGCTCCCAAGGCAATGGCATTAGCTGGTCCATAGCAGTGTACAGGAGTGGTGGTGGCTCCTGCAGCCACCTCAACAGACAGAAGGGACTTTCAATCTAAATATATAGCAAGTCTTAAGCACTGAAGCCTTGTGTTTTTTTGGAGCCAAAAGACATTTGCAAATGGTCATTTACAATTTGGGGTGTTATAGTTATATTGCCCCCTCAACTGTTGACATTTCAAAGATTAAAACTGTCAGGTCCTTAACCTTGAGTGTCACCCTGTTGTCTCCAGAGCCCGGACACTGGTTGAACATCATCAGTCAATACAGAGACTACCACAGAGTTCTCTGCCATCCCAACTGCAAGTTGTGGGCTGAGGAAGTCAGGATCCACCCCACTGGCAGCACAACACGACATCCAGTTTGTGACCTCCCATTCCTCAGTGGTAGCCAACGCTTGCTTCTCCCAGAGTGTCACTGCTTTCAAAGGTGCACAGTGCCCTGGGCAAACCGGGAATCAACTCTCATGCAAGTTGCTTCATCTTTCTCCATTTTTCAGCACCAGCTGTAAAATGCAAACACTCATATTTGACTGATTTACTGATTTGGTGTGCGAGTCCCCCTGGCTCAACCTTTTGCTAATCCTTCACAGCCTGCACAGCACAATGTCGCTCTGATCGTGGCAGAAGTCTCCAGGCATTGCTGCACTCCAGACAAATGCCTTTTCTCTTTATTCTTCCTTCTTAATTTGTCCTTATTTAAATAATCAGAAGCACACTTACATTTCCAGCATTCGTGCTTAGTTTTTCAACAGCTGCTGCCATCCCTGCTAGATTTCTCCTGTACTGCCATGGAGTACATCAGGAATGGTGAGGCACACATAGAAAACCCCTCTGAGCTTTTTGAGTGCCTCCATCCCAATTTTACTTCTCAGTTCCTTGGTCATCAGGGAACACACACGGGTTGGGACCAATGCACTGTGACCTCAGGGCTTACAAGGGACTTTAAAAATTCCACTCTGAAAAGAAACACCAGGATTAAGGCTCCGTGTGTATGGCCTGTGTCCAACCCCAAATGTGCCCAAGTAAGAGACTTTTCCTTTGCAGGTCTCCGGGTCTCAATGCACGGAACCAACATGACGTGCAATAGGGAACTGTGAATTTCCAGACACTGGAACAAAGGTGAAATTACAGTGCCTGAATACAATTACAGAGCTGGGCATTGAAAAATATTTATGAACTTGAACGTTCAAAAAACAAGGGACCGCTTGAGGTATTTAGGCAGGTTAAAAGCCTGGCTCCCACTGAAATATGTGAAGGCTTAAAGCACTGAGCTGGTTCTGATTCCCAGTGAATACCTCTCCATATGGCCCATGGAAATCCAGGTAACAAAGATTTCCAGTACGAGATTGATGAGCCTGTAAGATACTTGGAAATAAGATTTAAGTAAAGTACTACTTAAGGAAATACTATTTATGAAATTATTATTTAAGATTCTCAGCTGGTGACCCAACTCATTAACATCTTGAAAGAAAAAATCTTCTGATACATAATCTGATATTCACAAAACCAGAATGAGGGACCACTCCCTATCCTGTTCCAGTATCAATATCATATATTAAACATGATATGTAATGTCGTGCATTGGAATCAGCTGTTATATCGTGGGGGGATTTTGGACGAGAAGTGTTGATCAGCAACAGACCTCCCTCTTTGTACCTTGAGGGTGACTACATAGGAGTTCAACTGTGAAACCTCCTGAGCACAAGAAATATAAGGTACAAAAGAATGGGAAAATAGCTCTTATTTAGACCATGTAATGCATCTTTCTGTGTGAAATGCCATTTTTTTTTCAGTTTTTAAAGATAGTGGGATTAATTTCTAATGGTAAAGCGCAAAGATACATGCATTCTTCCTACTGCTGGCACAACTATTCATTGGTACTCAGAAGTATTTGCCTTGTATTTACAGAACCATCCACCACTGAATTTGAAATACTTAAAATATGCCTGAGTTTCAGGTGTGCAGACCACCAAAGAACTCTGTCTGATATGAGAACTGAAGCAGTTCTGACAACACACCTCTGAAAACGCCTTAGGGGATGTTCAAAATATGACTTTATATTCTAACGTTTTTATTTCCTAGTTGCTAGTTTGGGCCAGTATGAACTTCCACAGCATAACCAAACCCATCTGGGTGATGTAGTAAGCCTGGATCCAAAGGTGTTCTGCAATCCCTGCTCAATCTGGCCACTTGGTGGTGCAGAATAATAAGATATATTTCTATAAGTGCCAGTGAAGAGCAGACCAGAGATCCTGAACCGTCTCCCTCAGCCCATCTCCAGACATGCACAGGACTGTGCATGAGTCAAAGGCAGCTTTTGGTGCGTGACGGCTGCTGACACCAACAGCCAGTGCCCAGCCAAATACTTCACAGCAGCCATGCAGGTCTGTGACAAGGAAATGGATGGTGTAGGTATAGAAATAGGCAGAATTTTCTGGAATGCACCAAAGTGCTACATTTCCAAAGAAGAAAAGAAATTAATGTTGTTGCTAAAAACTTGTGTGTTCATTTACCATTGTAAATACTGAAAATATGTGAGGGTGAGACTCAAAGTCAGCTCATTAATCCTTGGCTGCTCCCCTTGAGCTGCAGAGAAAGGAGAGAAGCCCAGAAGGGGAGAGGAGGATTTCCCTGCAGATGGCAGAGCCTCAGGAATAATCACAGTCCATGCACATTAGAGTAACTTTCACTCTCCTATGCTATTCAGCCTTAATTGCTGCTAAGATCAAGAGGCTGATAAATGGCTGAAAATTACCTTTGCTCCCTACTTCAAGTGAGCTCACCTGGATCTGCAGTAAGTGGTACTAATAGAGGCCCTCAGCCACTGCACTGTGATGTCAATCCTGTGTAGACCTACTGTTTGGAAAGGGTAAGTATAGCTCTGTTTTCAGCTTAACAGGAACTTTAATATTCCTATTTAGAACAACTCTGATGCACACACCTGGGTATTTGAGATCTCTAACACAATCATACTGAGCCCGAGATACAAAATGCAAAACAAGCTGCTGCTCTCTTCTGGCTGACATTCTTATTTTCTTCTGAGATTAGAAAATAAAAGTGATGTCTATAACTGAAGTAAGTAGAAGGTAGTAATTTTAATGCAATTACCCTATTTGAAAAGTGAACAAAATATGAACAGTTGATTTTTAAATATCTTCATATATTGTAATTAAGTGTACCCTCATTACTTTTATGTTATGGAGGCATTTGGAAACCATTACATGGTCAATGATAAAGAGCACTTCAGAATACTGAGCAGGTATGAAATTGTTTATGTCTGGTTTTACTTATGTGTAGACTAGCCCCAAAACGGGCAAAATGTTGTTATATATGCATAACATCTTGATGTTGCTAATTCCTGCAGAGGACTGACTAAAACCTCCTTTTGAACACTTCACTAGGGAGCCCTAAATGCACTGGGAAGCTGTATAAAACACTTCTGTCCTGCCAAACCCTCCCAGGTTGGTGATGGGATACACTTGCCGCCTTTGCTGAAGTTTCTGGGTCATGAGCCCATTGCTAGAAAGCAGAAATAAGTTTCCTGCCAGGAAAATGGCCCTTGTATTTAGAATACATTTATTGTATTTATTATTATCTGTCCCATGGTTGCCTGCGAGTAACAACTTTCTTCGTGATATTGAAATTGCTCTGCTGTGATAACAAATGTTCCTCATTTAATGGCAAGTGCCACATAAGGACACAGAAATTGCCTTCCAAACGTGAGCTGAGCGATGCACAGCGAAACGACAAGGCTTTTAAAACGACAGGGGATGCTCAAGAAAACAGGTCACTAAGTCCAGCAAGACCTTGGGCTCTCCATGACCTGGTAGAAAACAGGCTGGGTGTGCTGTACAAATCCCAGAAGGAGTGGGAGGACCCTGTGCCAATGTTGTCTTCACAGTGGAGCTGTTTGGAGAAGGGATGGGATGGGTGGGGTGAACTGCTGGTAACAAATGTGTAATGAAACATTCAGAGGTACATGGTCCGTGTTTGTTCTCGATTTGCTCTGCTCTCCTGTTTCCTGTTCTACCTCATGCTACCTGAGTTTGGGACAGACCTCATGCTGCCAATGTTTTGATTTACTTCTGGCAGGGGGTGTGGAAAAACTAGCACTGAAGGCTGCCTCTTGCATCCGATGTGACAGTAAGCTGCTGTTTGACATTTGGACAGTCTCAGGTGATAAAGTGTGTGGCACTGAGATACTGTAAAATTTTAGACACGGACTAACATCGTATGTTGGTGTAAAAATTAATAATAGGCCATGTGGGCTTTCCTTTGGGCTTTGACTGATCCCAGCACTCTCCAGAGCTGCTCTCTTAGATCCAGTTTGTGAAGTGCTCCTGTGGGGAGGATGGAGATCACCAGCAGAAGCTCTTGCATCCCTTCCATGTGTGTGGGAAAAACAAATCCTGTTTCATTCCTAGTTCTGGGCCATGTGTCCACCGGGCACCGGGTGTAAGAATCACTGCTTTGCAGCCCTCACTCCTGGGGGGTCAGTGGGCTCTGACCCTGGCAGCTCCTGAAATAATAGTGTAAAATTAACCCTGCCCAGCTGTGGGAGTGCTCCCTCTCCCTGCTGGTGAGCCCTGAGGCCCCGAGGGACTGTCTGTTTTTGCAGGTGGGGTGGAGGGTTTCTGTTGCTATGACAACAGGGTTTTATTTTTTCCTTTTGGTCAAATTGGATTTTTTTTTCAGTTTAGAAAAACTGAAACAATTAGGATAGAGACAGAAGATAAATTTTCCTGCTCTCCCACAAGGATACCCAGGCAGGATGCAGAGGAAGGTAGCACGGAGGCAGGTGTGGGCAAAGGCAGGCAGCTGGTATCCCCAACCCCAAGGATTTACACATCTTTCCTTAAGACAACTGTACGCTTCATAAAACAAACCCAGACATACAAACTAGCTCAAATAATTCACCTTGCTTTGTCACACTACCTTTTCAAGCCTGACTAAAAGGGGACACACACCTGAACTCTTACAGAGGCTGATGTTTACTCCTTGCAGACCTAGTTTGCTTTTCAGCTGACAGGATCTTCTAGATTATTATTTTTTTTTTAATAGGAATGTCAAAAAGCTGAGTCAGCCATCCCACAGCTATTAAGATCCTAAAACTTCTTCCTCCTTACGGATTGCTTACCCCTACTCTATGCAGTCAGATGAAGATGAGTTGTTTGTTCTGGCAGAAGGACAGACAGTCTGTTTTTCCCTCCATATATACAACTAATTTCAAATCACTGGTGTTCTAGCTGGTGATAAAAGAGCTATCTTAAGCTTTTCACAGAACACAGTGACACTGTTAAATCAGCACAGCATTTTCATTAGCAGAAAGATGAGAGCTATACAGTTTAATGAGAAAAAGGGACAAAACACCTTTAGTGCAGCAGGTCCAAACCTCCAGTTTCAAAGGAAATAGGTGTTTTTCTGTAAGTTACACATTTTCACCTTACTACTGGTTCAAGGCTATTCAGTGTCAGCAATAGCCTGCACTGATGGAGTAAAGAAGAAAAATTGCTTTCATGCCTTATTGCTCATCTGGTTAGACCTTTTCCTGCAGCTGCATAACAGGCAGCTGTGGGACCAGAGCCCGTGGGCTTGGGGACCTGAATGTGTATGCTCTGGTAACTTTCTCCAGGACCTTTAAGGCTCACCCTTGGGTGCACGTTCCTTTTCTAGAACTCTAGTCCTTTGACAGGACGCTTCCTGCTGCTGCTTTTGCAGACTGATCCTAAGGCTAAATGCCTTCTAATGCCTAAAACTTCCTGGTAACTTCCAGACTAAATTTATATACCACACATTTGATGCCCATTTATTCAAAGGCCAAGATGGTCTTTCAACTCAAATAGATTTTTCTCCCTGCTGAGGTTTAAATCTTTACCGTGCTTGTCAAGAGCAGTCTTCTAACATCAGAGATACCAAAAGAGGAGAAATATATTTACTAACTGACACTTCAGTGAAAGCGGTTGCAGCACTTTGGAATTCATCGTTTGCAGATGCTGTGACCCCACAGTGGTGTTTCTGGGATTACTTTACAATGCCAAATGGCCTTAGGCTGCACTCTACATGGTGGCATCCTATCACAGTGCCATCCCGGAGGAACCGCTGTGCAGCTGACAAAATTCAGAAGAGATGCAGATATCAGACTCCTTACATTAATTCAGACGTCCTTGCATTTAGACTCCTTCCTATGCTTATTCTCCTGATACTGGGCTGTGTGAGTGAAAATTGCACACAGAGGAACTTGAGAGATGCTTAAATTACAGCTGACCCTGCTCTAACCTACGACTTTCTCTGAACCGAGGAATTCGGTCTGGCGTGTCTTCAGAGACAAAATCTCAGGGGATCTCAGCTTGATAGGTAGGCTGAGTTAAATGTGATTATCCATGCTGCTTGTGCCAAGCTGAGCTGCTCTCAACCAAAGCCACTCCTGTTCACATACCCAAACACTGCTCTAGGTGTTTCTCATGCACTATGCAATAACTTAAAAATCACATGAGGGGGCAGGAAGGTAAGAGATACTTAAAAACAGAAAAAGGAATAGATGACCATGCTCTTTTTAAAAAAACCCAAACATAAATAAATGATGGCTTATGCTAAAAAACTCCAAGTTTGTATTTCCAGAGAGTGCAACTGCATATCTGTATGCCATGGGCTGACTGTAATGAGCAGAGTACATTCTGCATCATGAGTGGAGTTTAAGACCAGTGACTCCAGAGAGATGACAGAAGTAGTGCTAAGCTTAGTTTAACACAATCTGCAGAAGCAGTTCTGCACAGTTGCTATAACACTATGTTAAACTAGGCTAAACTCTGAACACTGCTATAGTCACTGCTTTTGGAACCACTCTGGAGTCAGTCTGTCAGAATGTTCCTCTCCTTTGCAAAATACATAATCTCATTTAAAATCATCTAGTTTCCTGAAAGCTACTCAGTGTGGGGAAAAAAGTCTGACAGCATTCCCTCTTGCCTGCCCATATAGTAAACTTACTGATTGCTTATCTGCAGCGACACCAATCACAATTTTGTATTTATTTTTGAAATCATATTTATAAACATCTTCTTGGTTTATACTATCTTTTCAAATATGGCCATTTATTTGTATTACTTCTTAAGAAAGCTCGGTTTTTGAATATGTATTTTGAAACAAACTTATTACCGTTATTATTTTAAAAATCTTCAACCTGACTTGTAGGGGGAACCCTTCTTTCCTCCCCAACATCCCAAAAAATTCCCCTTCTATCATTTCACCTGCTGGGATACTGGTGAATCTGGGGGTTTGAAAATATCCTGGAAAAGATTCCTCACCTGTCTGAAGCATCTGGCTGAGCAGTGAACCTCACCTGATGATGACAATTTCTCTCTGAGGGTTTTACACCCAAGTGAAATATTCCAGGTATGTCTGAAATTGCATTTCTTATGAAATTTAGACAAAAGGGTTTCCTTGCTTGGGGAGCTGATTTCTTCTGCCTGTACTAAGGAGTGAAAGCCGGTGGAGATTGCTTTGACATAATCTCAATGTGTGTTCTGTTGAAGGAAAAGTGCTTGTCTTGGTGTCTTTGGCAGAAGTCCTGCACAGAAAATTGAAGTTTATCTTCCCAGATCCTCTCTGCAACTCTGCTTGTCCGCTTGGATAATGTCTTCTTCTACCCCCTGTACTAACTGTTTCGCTGCTATTTTAACAGCTTCAGACCTGTACCATAAGCATCCATCTCAAAGGATGAGCAAAGTGACCCTTTCAGTCTCTTGCCTAATTCACACTGGCTGCTCTGCCATTAGTTACCTAATGATTTGTGAAATATTTTGTGATATACCTTGTGGTCTTCAGCTGAACAGTCCTTGTAAGTGTCCAATATTAGTAGTAATGGTGATACATAGCAAGTTACCATGGCACCATGGCATTTCCTCATGCATTTCTTTCAGTGGTTAAAAACTTCTGTTGTATAGTGAAAGTTTAAGTTTTTGGCAGCATCAGTGCAAGCACACAAGCGCAGCTTCCTCCTGCAGGCTTTCCTCCTGCCAGCAGTTCCCGTTCACACCAGCAATCTCATCAGCTGCACACAGGCTAAATTTTGCAGCATAACACAGTGTACCCTGAGATCCTGATTATTTTTTCTTCTCTCTCTTCCCCCACCCCCTCCCCATCATGTATTTGGAGCACATCTGAGCTTCTGCCCAGGGTTACAGGGAAACCAGAGAGTGAAAGATGCCTTTGTGCACGTAGCTTTTACCCCAGCACAGCCCTGGTTGCTGATCAGGGCTTACCCCTGTGCCCAAGAACCAGTGAGTGTTCCTACACGCATTTGCCTAACCATGACCAGGGATGTAATTGGGATTATTCATGTTGTGACAACCGGGAAGACTGGAACTCTGCTGCACATGAGATCATGTACACAAAGCCAACACAAAACTCCCACTGATTTTGGAAAAGCCTGGATATAAGATGATATCCTTACTACTGAGAGCTGGAATGAAAGGGATGTAGAGAATCCATTAGAGAGCCACGAGCAGTGCCTTGCAGCTCCAGAATATCTCTGTAAGCACCAAAATCAAGCAGCTTGGTGCAGGTGATTCTGGAGAGAAGTTGGGTTTGGAATAATGCTCCTTTAAAAGATAAGAGAGATGGATGTGTTTAAATTTTTATTACTTAAATCATTAGAAGATACTAATAGTCACAGTTTTAAGACATACCGTATGCACTTATTCTATACAACTCAACATTATATCTCAGATGTGATATGGACTCTCTCTCCACAGCTGTGATATACAGACAAACATTAATAAAATTTTTATTTAGGTGTATCATAAATGCAATTTTATTAGGGTTTTGATGATCATAACATAAGCAAAACTGCTAGAATACAACTTCGAGTTAAGCCCTTCCTCTGCTCACATGAGCGCCAGGTGTCTGATCCATCTACCTGGAAAAACTGTGCATCTAGAATGTATTTAACATTAACTTGGAAGATTCTGAAATACTTTCTGCACAAGGGATAGGTTCTATGTGGGTGGACCTTGACATGTTTCTTGGACCTTAACTTTAACAGATGCAGTTACAGGTGTAACAAGTTACAGGTTTTAAGTCAATGTCAGAAAAAGATGGAAGGACAAAAATAGCAGAAGCTCAGCAGCTAGATTGGCAGGCAGGGTGGCCTTCTGGGGGGGGCAAGGGGAAGGCAGGAGTGACAGCTCCTACAGCTAATTAGTTCCACCTGTGAGATCTCCAGCAAGTGACTGGTTTCTCTGGTCGGCAGCACTTCAGTGCATGGAAAAAAGCTACATAGGCCTTGTTCTAGGATGCAAAGTTTAGTATTTATCACTACATACATGTTTTATAAGGTATTTAGCTTAGAACATCAACAAAGAGATTAACACTATATTCTATTACAATGAAAACTTGCAAACTGGCTTTTGTTTCCTCACTGAGAGTTTTGAATATCATGTTAGCATAACAAACTATTGCCTTTATGATTTCAGTATATTAATAACTACAGAACTAATCCTTTTTCTAGCCAGATCATTTATTAAAGTTTATTCATCATCTTGAAACTATGGCATGAATATATATGTAAACACATTCAGCTATAAATTCCCATTTATGGAAAAAACTGGTGCATTTTAGAGGTCCAAATACTGTCTTTTCTCTATGTGTTCAGCACTCATGGACTGTATGAAAGTGGACTTCAGAAGGGGCTTTTAAAATACGTTAAAACCTAAAAGTATCTCCAAGATGCTGTAGCCCGGTGAATCAAATTAACTCTTTCTCCAAGGCACACGAAAGAAGGCCTGAAGCTCTGAATGGTAACATCTGCATTTGCAAGTAATTAGATAAATAAGGACATTTCTGTTCTGGCGCAGTAAAGCTTTACTCTGTATGAGCAGAGCTGCTTTGTGCTCTGGAGATGCAGTTGTGCTGAAGACCATCCTAAGGAACTAGGAAGCATCTTAGAACTGTGCTTTCACAGTCCAACATCTGAAAAAAAAACACTCAGAAAACTGTATTAAGAGAAAGCATCATTGCAGGAACTACCTCCCTGGGAAGAAGGGCTCTGTGTGTGTGTGTGTGTGTGTGTGTAAAACCAATGACAAATGATCTCGTAACCTAAGGCGTTACTGGAGGAAGGACAGGCCTTAGTGACTGGGAGCCCATCTAAATACTGAACTAACACAATGTGAGAATGAGCACAGGATGTTAAAAATTAGTTGCTCTTAATGAGGGAATGAATCACTCTTAGCAGCAAAGAAAAGATAATGCCAACAGCAAACACTGCAGCTCTCAGCCAAACATAATTTAGATCTGAAGTTTAGACAATACTGATGGTAACCAAAACTTAATTCAACCAAATCAAAATGACCAAATCATCAAATAATATCATTTAATGATTTGACCAAAACAGTAATACTTTATGTAGATGACAACTGGTGACTCTGTAAGCTGTTTTAAAGATTATTGCTGCTGTAAACTGTAGTCAACAGTTGATAATAGTAATATTGATTTTTTTTTTCATTTTCACCCCCCTCTTCAAGTTATGGCTTCTACCACAGCTAAGCAATAATACTGCGAGGGGAACAAATTAAAAAAAATCAATGATTCCCTGGTAGTTAGCAACACATTTTCTGTAAGACTTTGAGCAGGATGTACTGGGATAGGCTTATAATAAATATAGAACTGTGGCAGATTTTCATAGAATTAGATATCAGCTCTTCATTTTTCCATCTTGATTTTTTTTAACGTGTCTCAAAGAGATCAACTGCTTCTCTTGATCTATAAATTCTATACTGAAAAATAATATAGCATGCCCTAAATAGCATGAGCAAACAGCAGAAGGCTACCTTTGACTCCTGGAGTTTGGTTTGATTTTGCTACACTCTCTGTAGTCTATACTCTAGAAATAATTTCTGCTGTATTCCTGCTTTCCCCCAAAGTAGCCCTTTGCTGTGCTGATGCTCCAGTTCAGTGGCCCTTGTGCAGAGCAGTGCTCATTTAACACCAGGTGTGCAACAAAGCTGTGAGGAGCTGCCCCTTTGGCTTTTAAATCTGACTCTGATGTGTTTCAGGTGATTTTGGTGAAAAGGCAATATAAAAAAAATGAAAAGAGGAAACAAAGGACTTGTACAAAGGTTAAGTGGAAAACCCTAATTCCAGGAAGTTTTCCTTCAAATAGGAGCAGATGGTGGACCCATCTGGCCAGGCAGAAATGTGCCAGGCTGGGCATACTGAGAACAAGTCCATGCTCCAAGATCCACCTCCAGCCGTGAGCATCTTGATACTAGGCTGGTTAATCCAGTAATTAATTAGGAGGGATGAGTTTCAAGAGTGAAGCTTGAAAGGAGAATTGTGAAGGGAAGAAGGTAGTGGACACACCGGTGGCAGCACGGTTGGGACAATTTCTGTATGTGCTTTGTGCCATGAGCAGAAGCATCTTTGGTCTTTTTACTCGTGTGTGTTTCATGGGATCTTCACATTAAAAAGAAAAGGTACTTTCAACAGAAAACATCTGAAAATATTCTGAAAAGCTCTTACTTTGCACAGAGAAAACTTCTAATCGGCAAAACTGCAAATAAAGTCACTACATCTGAAGATTAAAACTTGTGTTCTTGCCAGGTTTTGCCCTCATCTGTCAAATGACTAGGCTAAAGTAAACTTGAAATAGATTTTCATTTATTTTTCATCTTCACTGTAATCCAAAGACTGCCCTGTTAAAAGCCTTTCGTAAATCATTTGGTCAGTTTTTCTCAACAAAACAGTCTTTAAGTAATGCCGTATATCAGCCCCTTTTTTGACGTTTTCATTTTTTCATCTTGACATCTTCTCTTAAAAATAATACAGTGTTTGTCCTGTTATCTTTTTTCAGACACTGGGGGTATGGGGGGAGGAAGAAGGCATCAACACTCTCCCTATCACAGCAACTGGAGGTATGCAAATGAAAGATGTACTCGTCAGCCTATGGTTTTCCTTTCAATCTTACTGCCCAATGTTAAGACAGCAAGTGGGGCAAGAAACTCAGATTGCTGCATCAAAACTGGAAGCTGGAAATCACACAGCCTTTTCCCTAAGGTGCACAGTCTCTATCAAATTCCTTCCTAAATGCAACAGGGATTTAACTCTAATCTGACTGACATGAAGAAGTGCCTCTGCTACAATCCACCGCATCATTCGTGTTTGGCCTTTACAGGCCAAGAAAAAGTCAATGAGATAATTCTATAGATGAAACAAGTGAAAAAATACACTCCAATACTAAAGCAGATAAACTCATTTTTCTTGCTCATCCTGTGAGTAAAAGCCAGCTGGTTTGTAGAGGTGCGTGGAGTTCTTTCTTTAATTAGAGTAGCAACTTTTTCTTTTTCCTAGTTATTCACACTTTCCTGAGATACAGTGTGGTTTAATAGTCAATTATAATTGACTGTTAAGAGAGGAATTAGGTGATTTATCAGAAGTAAAAATTCAGTGCTAAAACAGTATCTCTGCAGAGAGATGTAAAGCTGCAGGGGTGGGTGCTGAGTGACTGCACAGATGCAGTTGCTGAGCCATTCTTCACCACAGCACTAAAGACAATGTCAGTGCAAGTGATGTGTCAACCAGTGTTCAGCAGAGCCATGTATTCCAGTGCTGCAGACCAATACAATGCTTTTATCTTCAGTGAACAGTGTCAATCAGTACAGCTGGTGATCCAACCCCAGTATACTTGTGGATGAACCTGATAAATCCTGTATAATTACACTGAACCTCAACTTTCTCCTTTTTCCTTGTTTTATCTGTGTGGGAGGCAGCTTATTATCTGTGGTATAGTTCTAGTCTTACATCTGTTTGAGTCTGCTGAGTTCTGTTCTGTGATCCCAAGGGCTGGTTTAAGAGCTCAGCTCTAATAGAGACAGCCAGATTCCTGAAACCCATGGTAGCCAGGAATCAACCTCATGGTATTTTTCTGCAATTTGCATGTGCAGAGATATTAAGATTTTATTTAAGTTTTATCTGAGGACCTCATGGTGGCACATTTGCTTGTAGCCAGCTTTGTGTTCTAAACCACTTCTCTTTCTGGTGCTGTTGTAGGGAATTAAGAGGGATGTGTTTTGGATGAACAAAAGCTTGCAAACATTTTTCCTCGATTTGAGAGTTTTCCAAAGATGACACCTTGAAGAGGGTAAAAAAACCTCCCTGTTGGAACAAGCTGGTGGAAATATTTGGTTGGGTCGTGAGAGCAGGCATGAGGAAGCTCTGTCTCCCAGAGGACAAGAGTGAGGTGGTTTGGGTGCTACTGGGCATTAAGAAGTAAAGGGAGAAGAAGGGTGTCTGTGGTGAGTAGACCCACCTGAAGAGACGTGAGGGAGACAGGGCCTTTTTCCTGAGCTTGGTTTCAGCCTCTTGATGGCTGGACAGGTTCAGAACCATTGGTCCATGAGGAATTTTCATTCTCTTTCCACGAAATGCCTGGCTGTGACCATGCCCACCCTGCCCTGCACTTGGGCACTTTTTACCCCTGCATGAGTGCTCTGGTCTCTGAAGGAGGGAGCACCTTTACCTCCTTGCCCTGGCCACTCTTTTTAAAGAAGTGATATGCAAAATTAGATAACATCTCTATTACAGAGAAAAAAGATGGAGGACAAAAGGGTCAGGATTGCTTCATAGATGTAGCTACAAGAGTAGCTGCATTGAATACTGCTTATCAAGGCAAATTTGGCAGAGTCCAGAGTGGGTCTCTCTGGTAAACTGATAAATCATTAGAAAACTCTTATATATAGCCATCACCACTGAACAAAACACTGACAATCTTCTACCAAACCTAGGTAGATGAAGGAAGAGGACCAAATCCTCTTACACTTGAAGGAGGACACTTGACTTCTCTTTGTGCAGTTGAATTTTTTTGCATGACCCATCAGAAATAAATGCAGTTATGGCATCTGCGGGTAAGGACTGTCAGTTCACAGAATAAACCATCTCATGATGTTTTCATATTTAAACAGACAGGAAGGGAGGAAGTGTGGGTTCCCAAAAAAGGTTTCACACAACGCCTTTTCTCTGTCAGTGAAGTGAAATATAACTGCCATGCTAAAAGGTTTTGCAGCAGTAATTTGCTTTGAATTGCAAGCATAAGATAAATGTGCTATACAGGTCTCAATTCCTCAGCTGTGAAGGTGGTAAAAAGGAGAATATTCCCTGGTCCAGAACAAAAAGATATTTAAAACTATCTTGTTTCAAAGCTCCCAAAACATCTTAACACAAGTGAAGATACTCTGCACTCCCTGTCTTGTTTGCACAACGTACTGCCCACTTGTTTTCCAGCTGTAGCACCAAATTTTCTGCTGTCATTAGGACTGCTCTCAGGTATCTCAACTCTAAAACAGTTCAATGATGCCAGACTTTTCTTTCTACAAGGAATTGTATGTCATCATGGCTTTTGTTTTATTTTTCAAGTGTCCCTTTGCTTAATAGGATCTCATCATATGTGTAGATAAATGTTTTTGCAATATAGCATCATCAAAGTCAAGGGGGATGTAGCCTTTGACCTCAATGGAGGAGATCTCAGCCCTTAAAATAGGAACCATGTCACTGATATGATGACCTGGAAATAACTTATGAGTCAGAGCTGAGCATCAGAATCCAGAGAAAATGATGCTCATTTAAAAGGTAATAAAAAGTTGAAGCACACAGAAATATTTGAAATGCTGCATGAGAAGGAATTATTTTTAAGAAGACTTCTGGTTTATATTATCCAGAGCATCCCAATGGAATAGCTCTGTATTAATAATATCTCATCTATTATGTATATTGTAATATGCCTAACACAATTGCTGAAGTAATTTGGTGCTGCTAATTCTTCTCTTTCTTTTTATTCCCTTTTCTGAAGAGGTAAAGAGATTAGGAGAGTAGTTTAGAGTGAAGTATACATTGCACTACAGACTTCCCACAGATTAGAACTATCAGTTATTGTATTTCCTGTTTTTCTGTTTCAGCCTAAAAATCTAGGCACTTCTTGAGCTCTGCTTTTATTCTGCCTCCATTTTAATGCCCACTGACTGCACTGTATCATCTCATCATTGTATTACTTATTTTTGATTATTTAATATTTCACTAGAATTCCATTCTCAAGTTACTTTAATATAGTCCTATTTTAAAGGTGCCAAATAAGGAACCTAGGAAATGAAGAATTAGCTGAATATTGAATTTTTAGCCTGAAAGTTCTGAATAATGAGGGTTAAAGAGTCCTGTCTGGTCCTGTCTATAATACACTGACCAATACGAGATGTCTTTTGAGATGTCTTTTCTTCTGACAAATACTACATAAAGCTTCATCATTGTAAATTATTTTAAACCTTTTGTAAGTGTTTGAAAAGTCACTGGGAAAAATGCAGAGGATTTAGAAGTAAATCTGTGAGCCTTTAGCTGTTTCAGATTTTCCCCCCACTGTGCCTCCATAAGAGATTCCCTCTGTTAACTCATCACTAAAGCAATTGTGTACTACTTAACAGAGGTGCTATTTTCTACTTCATGTGTCTCCCTATGAATTGTGCAAGAGGCATTAGAGAACCCTGCCTTCCACTGAACACATAAAAAGGCATAGCAGAAAAAGCTTTACAGATTTATTGCATTCTCTATGCGTTGCCTTTCTGGGAGGGAGGGAGAGAATTGGCAGCGGGTCCTGCTGTGGAGCAGAGTCTGCAAGGACACAGGAAAATCTTTGCTAACCCCCGAAGACTTTGAATAGCTCTGTACAGCAGTCCTTATTATCATGTACATATTTTTCAGGTACTACTTAGAGATAACATTGAAGAAATGTGACACAAAGTCTGGTTCCTCTTTTTCTCCTCAACCCTTACATCCACGATTTCCAGATTAAGGGAAGGACGGCAGGGATTGAAGTCCAGGAATGCTTCTGGAGGAGGCAGGACACAAATATCTTTTCAGATGGCACTTCCCAATGCACCTCTCACCACCAGTCATAGGTTTCCTATGCCGTGGGAGCTATCCCCTTGGGAAGAGGTGTGATTTTCCACCTGTGGTGGGCAAACTCGTGTCCTCACTGGGGAGCCAATTTCCAGAGGAGTCCTGTGGCACCAGCAGCCATACTGCAGCTGGGCAGGGAGTGGTCACAAAGAGGCAGATATGAACCCAAATCCTTTTTGTCACTTGCTGCTGGGTAGGTGACATTAACTTCTTCTGCATTTTCTAGTGCTTGATCCACATACAGAATCTGTATGAACAACTGGGTGAAGCCACATGTCCGTCATTCCCCAAACCCTGTGTGCCATGAGGACCACAGAAGCAGGGTTAGTACAGCAGCAAAATGCATCTTTCCAACAGAAAGGTTCTCTGTTATTTTCTCATGTGCTGACAGAAAGTCCCATGCTCTCAATGCAGATTTATTTTATCCTGCTTGGGGGGAAAAACAAAATAAACAAAGCAACTTTAAGGGTATACAGAGTCTCATCAAGAGAGTTACTCATAAAATGTTTTGGACGATCTCCATCTTCAATTGTCCTGGAGTCCAGCATGACTCTCTCCAATTTCAAATAAAATTGAGTCTTAACTGTTGCTGAGCTGTGTATGTGATACACCAAGGGTTGTTTTTCCATGTGCAATTGTGGCTTTCTGGATATCTCAGTTGGACTTGGCCCTCTGAAGAGCGGGTGTAATTGGGGGACTGCTCTGCTCAAATGCCATGCTCTGCTTCAAGATTGTTTTCATTTGGGGCAAATATTCAACCACTGGCATTATTAGGCTGAGCAACATAAGGCCTAAGTACTAATCTGAGGTTTCTTAGTCAGTTCTTGACTTCTCAGACCTTCACTGTTTTGCCATCTGCTATAATTGAAAATTGCCTTCTGCAACCGAAGGGAAAATCTAATTTCTCAGCAAGCCATATGGGGTTATTAAGATCATTAAACCCTGGTATGCCATAATGCCTGGGCCAAAAGGACCATAGGGCACGCAAATATTGTGTGATTCATTTTGTAGCTTCAGACTGCAAGTTAGGAATTATTTTGATGGCTATCTTATGATGAAAAGTGCTGGTCAAGTAGGTTACAGCAGATGTTGATTGGTGAGGTCAGTCCATGGCATGTTTGCTCAGAGCTGTGACGGATGAGACGTGGTTTTAATGGTGTTTGATCACAAAGGGTAAATCTTTTGTATCAGCCTGACAAATGATCAGAAACCAGCCAGTGCCCTTAGTTGTGCCAGTGATGCTAAAGGCAGCCTTGAGTAATAAGAAACCAGAGAATACAATTTCCACTTTTCAGGAGGCCCCAGACTTGGCTTCTCATACAGGGTCTAAAGCTGATGATATAAATTGTACTCCCCTTCCTTTCTTAAGAATGGGAAAGCTATTCCCCTGCAGTTGCCTATTCTTGAACACTATAAAACTGAGCTGCTGGAATTTTTCCTCTATTTTCTCTGTTTCTCTAGTTGTGATATTTTGTGAGATTTCTCCCTTGCAAACCCACTTCTACATATTTGATACAACCGTGTGTGAGAATATTAAAGCTGATTTTTGGCTAACGAGGCTTCAGAAATGAATGCAGGAGCTGTAAAATTTACATGAAATTAAAGAAAAAATACTTCAGTAAATGCAAATAAATGCAGAAATGAATATTTTAATTTGGATTCATGATTAACGCCAAAGGATTACCAGCAAACCATTACAATGTGATGACATAAAAACTCAATGGGAATAAAAATTCTATATGCACTAGTTAACTGATGGAAGGAAGCTATTTTTAGTAGGACAGCTCAGATTAATTTATTTGTTCTTTAAAAAAAAGTAGCTATTGATTGTATTTCAAGTTTTGTCTATGATAATTATGTCTCAGAATATTTTTACTGGTATAGTATTGTATCAGTTTCTGCATTTTACAATGGGCCAACCAACTATGATCACTAGATTTATACCCATTCTTTAACTTATTAAATGAATGGTATTGAAAATAGGCATTGCTGATTGTCACTTTTCTTTATGCTATGTAAATAAAGGAGTTAAGAACAAATTGTTATAATTGTATACAAGAATAATATGTAAGAAAAAAAAGTGAAAATTTTTTCCCTCCTTCAGTTTTCCAGTGATCTCAATCTGACTGCATTTATTTCCTCTGTAGGTCCGGGGTTTCTGTAGGTCATGGTTTCTGTTTTAAGACAATAAGAACCAAAGCATGTTTGAATAGGCTTTAGTTTCTGTAGCACTGTGGTCAAGACATCTTACTCTTTTGAAATCAAGGCAAACTAAATTAGGTAAAAAAAGTATTTCCTGTTCTAGTCATACTTTGACTGTCCAAATAGCTTTCGTATTTTAGTGTCCTTGGAAATCACAGTTAGAATAAGAGAGTGATACAATTTTCCCAAAAGCTGGGAGTCCAGTCAATGTTTAAATATTTTTTTTTCTTTTCTTTGAGAAGCCATGAAAAAGTGTGGTTGGTTTTTAATTTGCATGAGGGGTGTGTTTTTTGAAGTTTTTGTTGTTCTCTACCCACTCCTCAGGCTGACAGCCCAGGATGGCACTTGGAACTAGTCTGAAGGATGCACACCCATAATGTGTGTAGGCTCCAGGTAGGCATAGCTTTCCAAATGCAAAATCCTTGGGAAAGGGGTGGGGATGAGTGGAGATGGGAGTTGAAGACCTTGTCATTAGGTCATGATTCTCAGACATCCCATGACTGTGAACCTGCTGCCAGGATGGCATTGCATTTCCAGACCGACACACCCTTCCCCCCTGCCTCCTGTGTGTTAGACATGAGCCTGTGCCTCCTCTTTTGTTGTAACTACTCTTCTGTAGTTACATTCATTTGAGATGACTGTATGAAAAAATCCTCACCCTGCACTAATTGCAGTGTCCATCTTAATACATCTCAAACAAGGGGAAAAATGAACGGAGGCCTCAATA